TAAGTCTTATCTGCCTTGTAAACATTTTCTCTAACAGATCCTTAAATCTACAGTGGACAATCAACAAAACAAGAAATTGAACTTTTATTTATAGCACTTACCAATTTCTGAGGTGGGAATACTTACACCATGGTAGACTTCAAGCTACTAACATGTTGTCACTGAATGTGAATTGGAAAGAAGTGTGCAATAGCATCTCCACCATATAAATCCAGTAGATGCAAATCCCCTCAGGAGCATAGATAATAGCAAAATGTATTCAAATAACTAGGAAATGATGAGATTTGAATATTTATTGCATGAGTTTTTAGTATAATTTAGTTGTAAATTTACATTATTTAATTTTTAATAATCCCTGTTTAACAACTGCCTTGCAAAATTCCTAAAAATTTCACATTAGGCTCTCATAATGCCGTGCACGGCAACTTCTGCACACCATTGACATTAAGTTCATTGAATATGTAGCCTTCACTGTCCTATTTGTCACTCTGAAACTAGTAAAATACGGATTTTCTTCACGAACTATGAAATTGGTGGTAACTTTTGGGACAGCATCTCCTTTTCCTTTAATCCAGTGGATACTTCTTAGTCCTAATCTTTCTTGATTATCTGTAGTAAATGACATCATTGGTCTTCCTGTTGAAACTGCCTCATCACGAGTTTTTCCAGTCTCTTGTGTTCCTCTCACCTCTCTATTACTCAGGGCTACATTGAAAGCTTTCCTTTTTCCACTGAGTTCTTCGATGTTGGTGTTTCTGAGAGTTCTTAATCCTCGTATCTTCTCACATTTCACGCTGCTCCTGCGAAGCCTTATCTACTCTGCTATCATTTACATACAGTCAACACCCAAATCTGTATCTCCAAACCAAAATTCTTGCCTAATCTTCTAATCTTTAGACCTACATTTGCAATTGCTCCATGATGCATTTTCACCAGAGTGTTTCACATACATTTTGAACTCAAAATGTCCATAACAAACTTGTTTATTTCCTTTGAAATTTGCTTTCCCCTTTCAACTCAATAATTTACAAGTAGCACCATTTACCAAATCACCTAGCCAAATCCCCAGATGTCATTTTTTATTCCTCTTTTTTTCATGTATTCCACATTGAAGACTGCAGTTCCTGTTGGTTCCGATGTTAATATTTCTACCAAGTATTGCTTCTTTCTGTTCTCACTGCCACTGATAAAACTTGAGTCCTAATTACTTCTCATTGTTGTAATAATCTATTCCCTAACTTCGACTAATCATACACATTGATGCACCTGTAATCTTTGTAAATCACAAATCCTTTAATGGCTCCCAGTTGCCTTAGAGCAGTGGCTCTCAAACATAGCTGCACAACAGAATCAGCTGAGCAAGGATTTTGTTCAATCAAGTTTATACATGAATAATTTACATGTAATAAAATGCATGCATTTTAAGTGATACAGTGTGTTTTTAACAAATGTATTAATATATACCTGTGTAACTACCACCACAATCAAGTTATAAAACACTTCTGTCACCTCAAAAAGTTCCTACATGTCCTACAATTGGGGAATTGAATCCTTACCCCAAAAGACAGTCAGCCCCAAGCTACCACCAGTTTTTAGTCCTTAAAGGTGTTGCCTGTTCTAAAATTTCATGTAAATTGAATCAGACAATATTTACTCTTTTGCACCTGGCTTTTTTTTTTTTTTTTTACCCAAGATAGTATCTTTGAGATTCATTCAAGACATGTGAATCCATAATTTCTTCCTTTTTACTACTGAGTAGTATTCCATTGTATGAATTTTCAAAATTGTATCCATTCATTGGCTGATGGACATTTGGATTGTTTCCCATTTGCAGGCTATTATGGATAAAGCTTCTAAGAACATTTGGGTAGAAATACTTTATAAATGTATACTTTCATCCCTCTTGGGTCAATATTTAGAATTGCTGGTTCTTATGATAACGGAATACTTAACACTAGAAGAAACTGACAACCTGTTTTCCAAAGTGGCTGTACCATTCTAGGACCCACTAGCAGTGTATGAGAGTTCCATGCAGAAAGCCAGGGCAACAGCTACTCGGCAGGCTGAGGTGGGAGGATTGCTCAAACTAGAGAGGCTGAGGCTGCAGTGAGTTGTGATTGCACCACTGTACTTCAGCCTGGGCAACAGAGAGAAACCTTGCTTCAAAAAATAAATAAATAAAAATAAAAAGCCTGGGTAAACAGAGTCACCTTGTTAGTTTTCTCTGTTTCAGATATCAAAGACCTGTACTGCCTGTTGCTCAATGCCTTAAAACTGTTGTTTTTAGTTGTTAAGAGTGTGAGGACAAGTCCAATACCAGGTATACTGTCATTGCCAGCAGCAAAATCCACTTTGTGAACATCTTAAGAAACATGATGCTTCAGTCCCACTCTGTACCAATTATTAATAAATCTGAGTACCTGGAGATGGGAGAGAAGAAGTGATCCTAAAGCACAAGAATGTTAGAGAATCACTGGTTCACAGGATTCCATCCCCAACCTAAGGCAAGATCTTTCAGAATCTGTCTCAAGCCTCCAGTCTAGATCTGTCTCCTCCCCACCATTCCATAACCATCTTTTGTCATTTCTAAGTTGCAACCATATAGCAGTTTGCTGACATGAATATAATATTTCAAATTTCAGTGCCTTTGTAAATATCTTTGCCTTTACCAAGATTCTTTCTGGTCCAATACTTCTACTGGAAATACTTTCCTTCAAAACTCAGCTAAAACGTCTTTGGCTCTATGAAGCATTTCTTGCTAAAGAGCCAGAGATTTCTAGGGCAGAATCTGGTGCTAGAAGAGTATTAGGTGCTAAAAGAGTTTGATGCCTGGCACTGCCATTTACTACAGGGTAAAGTTAGTCTTTATCATCTGGTTTCCTCAGGTATAACAAGATAATATAACTACCTAGTAGAGGGATAAATGAAATTACACAGGGAATGCACAGCTAGGGGGAGAAAAATTTCTCCTTTACTCTCTCAGAGTCTCCAGCTGGGTCCAAGAATTAAACGGACACAAAACAAATTAACAGGGAAAAAGCATACAAATTTTATTTAATGAAACTTTACATATAAGTGGGTGTCCACACAGGAAAATAAAGACCCAAAGAAGTGGCTAGGCCTAAGTGCTTATATACTGGGTTGAACAAAGAGAGGCAATCGTGGAAGAGTATCTAGGAAGATACCGGTTAGTTTAACAATATCTGTACAGATGTCTCTCTGCCTCCACTCCCCTTGTCTGGTGATGAGTATCTTTCCTCTTGGTATAGAGAGGGCATCTACCACACGGTAGTTTCTTTTCCTGCTCTCAGGAAGAAAAGGTCACAGTGCTCTTCTTGCAGCTGCTGTTTATCAAATGTCTGTTTTGTTTTGTTTTGTTTTTTCAAGATGGAGTCTCTCTGCGATACCCAGGTTGAAGTGTAACGGTGCATCTCTGCTCACTGCAACCTCCGCTTCCCGGGTTCAAGCGATTCTCCTGTCTCAGCGTCCCAAGTAGCTGGGACTACAGGCACGCACCACCACTCCAGGCTAATTTTTGTATTTTTAGTAAAGATAGGGTTTCACCACGTTGGCCAGGCTGGTCTGGAACTCCTGACTTCAAGTGATCCGTCTGCCTCGGCCTCCCAAAAAGCTAGGATTACAGGCGTCAGCCACCGCGCCCAGCCTCAAATGCCTTTATATATCAAAACGATCAGTATGCCAAAGCTCGGGTGGCAAGCTGTCAACTCCAGCACCTAGCATGGTGCACACAGCGGACACCAACCGAGTATATCCCCTCACGTGGCTCACATTTCCTTTGTAACTCTCCCAGCAAAGCTCTACTGCACGCTGCATCTTACCCGTTTACATTTCTCTTTTCCTCCCTTGACTGAGTTTCATAATCACTGGGACTGTTTCTTTTTACTTTTGCATCCCTTGGGCATAAAATTGCCTAGGAGGCAGGGCGCGGTGGCTCACGCCTGTAATCCCAGCACTTCGGGAGGCTGAGGTGGGCAGATCATGAGGTCAGGAGATCAAGACCATCCTGGCCAACATGGTGAAACTCGGTCTTTACTAAAAATACAAAAATTAGCCGGGAGTGGCGGCGCGCGCCTGTAGTCCCAGCTACTCGGGCGGCTGAGGCAGAATTGCTTGAACCCGGGAGGTGGAGGCTGCATTGAGCCGAAATCACGCCACTGCACTCCAGCCTGGGCGCCAGAGCGAAGACTTTTCTTCAAAAAAAAAAAAAAAAAAAAAGAAAGTGCCTAGGATAAGAAGACCCGAGTCTAAATCAATCTCAGTTGAATGACGAGGGCTTAATAGTCTCGAGTTCTGCGGGTTTTTTTGTGTGTGTGGTTTTTTTTTGAGACGGAGTCTCCCACTGTCGCCAGGATGGAGTGCAGTGGCGCTATCTCCGCTCACTGCAGCCTCCGACTCCCTGGTTCAAGCGATTCTCCTGCCTCAGCCTCCCAAGTAGCTGGGACTACAGACACGCGCCGCCACGCCCAGCTAATTTCCGTATTTTTTTTTTTTTTTCTTTAGTAGTGACGAGATTTCACCACGTTGGCCAGGATGGTCTCGATCTCCTGACCTCATCCGCCTCGGCCTCCCAAAGTACTGGGATTACACGCATGAGCCACCGCGCCCGGCAGAGTTCTGCTTTTAACAAATTATTCCAGGCACTTTTTACGGTGTTTTTTACTCTCAATGCCAATTCACGCTGTGGTGATGATGTACCATCCAATCCTTGATAGGAAAGATGAGAGAATCTGACCAAGACTAGAAGGAGAGGTTGCAATTTTTCATCAGATGAAAAATCCAGAGGATGTTTTCATTGTTGAGCTGAATGAACCTGCAAGTCTACGCTGCCCTCTAGGGCGGCCTACAGTGCCTTTAGGCGGGTAGCAGGAGCAACACAAAACTTAATAGAGGTTTCCCTGCGGAGAAATTCCCCGGTCCAACTTACTTTAATGGAAAAAGGGAAACCCGACGGGTGGGTCAGCACCGGATATGGGGGCGCGGGTTCGGGTAGCGAGGACGCGCACGCACCTTGCACGTTTCCGCCCCTCCGGCGGTTGCCAGGCAACCAGCTCCGGAAGTTGCGGGAGGTGCGTCCGCTGCGGGCGCCGCTAGCCAGCGGAAGATGGCGGAGGGCGGCGGCCCTGACCCCGGCGAGAAGGAAAGGAGGTCTTCCGGACCGCGGCCTCCGAGCGCGCGGGATTTGCAGGTGAGGCGAGCAGCTCGTGGAGGGAGGGCTGCGGTGGATGCGGGCTGGTGATGGCGCGGGCTGGTGCGAGTCGGAGGCCGCCTCTGGCCTCGGCGGAGCCTTTCCCTGACCCAGTCTGGGGATGGAATCGTGACTCCGGGGCCCGGTCTCCCGAGGTCGGCGCTTAGCACTGTGATGGTCGTGGACACAAGTGCCCGAGCCTCCAGCGGTGGTGCTTCGTCTCCCTTCCACCCCACGTACGATGTAAAAATAGCTATACGTTTAGAATGACATTTTGCGGGGTCAGTTGGTTGGTTCACGGGTTGATGCTTCCTTCTTGAGACTTACTCCAGAAGAAAGGTTGCTGTGGCCGCAGGGAAGTGGGCAGTCACCTGAACAGTAGTGATACGTGATTTTTCTTTTTTGTCTTGGATGCTGTTTCTGACTTGCTTACTTAAATATAAAAATGGTTCCATTTTATCAGGTGGCTTTTTCTTTTAAAGGGGTGAAGGAAAGCGATGCACGCTATGCCCATATCAGCCTAGTTGTCTAAGCTATGGTCTTTAAAACATTGCACACAAGAAACAGGGAAATAAAACTTCGTAATGTCGTGTAGGACACTAGTATTAGTTAGCTAAATACTAGTGCACCAAATCCCGTTTTATCAGATACTAACTCCGCTTTTCTCATTTTCGGCTTTTTTGTGTCTCATAAGATTATTGATAAAAATTTAACAAGTAAATATCAGTAAGGAGATACTAAGGAGAATTTTGGTAGAACAGTTTTACTGTATTACTTTACAACCACACTTCATTCTGATGTGAACAAACCACCATCCATTGTAACATACTGCTGAGCTTTGGGCGTGTGGAAATAAGGACATCAAATCCTTAGTCGGTGCTGAGCTCTGTTGATGGGTATGTAAGTGTAAAAGACATTTCTACCTTTTGGAAACCTACAGTTCTCTTCGGAGAAATAGGATATTAATACATTTAGCATAACATTTTAAGATGGAATATGATTGGGTACCAAAATAAGCAGTGCGTAAAGCGAAGAATTTGGAGACTGCAGAGATCAGTGTAAGTTTAGGAGGTGAACTCAGTGTAGAATAGTTCCAGCTCACATAGTTGGTTCAGTAGTAGTAAACAGTATCAAGGGTTAGAAAGCTATTGTGTACCTCATCTTTCCTATTATAAACCCACATCACTGAGAGGCAGCATAGAGTTAGTAGTCCCACCAATTTTGGTTTGCCTCTTAGTCCTGCTACTTAGTAGTTTTGTGAACTTAGGAGAAAAGTCTTAACCTGTCTGATCCTCGTATGTCTTCATTTGTAAACTGAGGAGGGTCAGGGTGCTGGTGGTGGTGTAAGGATTAAATAATGTTGTAAAGGGCCTATGCAAAATTCCTACATTATCCTGGTCAAGTTGTTGCTGGGCAAATATTTGGTTCCTTTTTCCTCAAAGGAGAAAGATGCTATAACTTTCCCTGGCTAGTCACTTCTAATATCATTAAAGTTAATGCAGTATGAACTTAATGTCCTTTCCGTAATTTAAATCCATTTCTTCTTTTTATATGAAAAGTGAGAACAGCTTGGTTAATGACCACCTGATTCTTGGCAAATTATTTGCAGACTTAATCCAGTGAATCAAAGTATGATTAATGTTTGGAGATACTCTGGTAGATGTTGCTAATCATGAGAATACCTTCATTTCCACCCTAAGTTATGATGGGGATTTTTTTTTTTTCATCTCCTGTCTACTTCTGGTAGGTTAGGGCAGTAGGAAGATAACTGATTTCTTTATGAATGTGATTTGGTGTATCAAGTACAGTATCTAAGTATTGATAATCTTTCCTTTAGAACTTAATATGAATGTGAAGAACTTGCAAAGAAACTTGAAAACAGCCAAAGGGATGACATATCAAGAAATAAAGTATGTATCAAAAGTTTAAAAGAATTAAATAATGTTCTTCCCAAATGGTATCTTGGATATTGATTATTTATAGATTATCTTGTTACGTTTAATCTAGACATGCTTATCTTAAGAGTTACCCAGTTCGTGCAGCTTTCAGTAGATATTTCTTTCTTCTCTAACAGCTTGCTGTAAGAGTCTTTCAGAGTGAGTAAAGGGGCAACATATTACTAATCGGAAAAAGCAGAATTACCCCTAAGTAAGTGTATCTTAGCCGCCATGCAGTGTAGGGTTTCTCAGTATCTAAATCAGGAGGGAGTGTTCCAGGTACCACCAGAGAAAAGCTACATAGTTGCTTCCCAAAAGGCTTCCCAGCCTTGGGAGCCCCCAAGTTACAAACTGCAGACTCGGAACTCTTTTTTTGCATATCAGAGTAGATTTTCATAGCTCCCTTCATCCACCTCAAATAAGGAAATGGTCAGTGGGAAAGTCAGGGGTGGGATTGTTAGTGGCAAAACTAAGCCCAAAACCTCATCAGTGTTCAATAGTATTTCTGAATTGCTTTCTCTTCTGGTGTCCCTCAGCCCATCCACACACAAGTTCATTAAGGTATTTAGTTGTATACTCTGTCCCAGTTTTGCTCCACATATTATGTGTTTCTATATAGGTTGGACGGGTAGGAAGTGAGAACAGGGATAACTTCAGTATTACTAGGGTTAGGATTGGATTTGTTAGGATGGACTCAATAGTGGGCACTATAAAGGAGAAGAATTAAAATGCCTGATAACTGTTGCCACAAGGACCCTAATCCTATTGAATATCATTATTCTGTGTTGTTGATTTTCTAGTGTGCATCTATGACCTGGGAAGGCCTGTCAGAGATTGCTGGACCCTACCCCAGAGTGTGATTCACTGGTTCTAGAGTAGGGTTTACGTATATGCATTTCCTACAAGGTCCCAGGTGTCTGTATAATAATCATTTATTACGGCTTCTAGAATTGGTTACTCTAAGGCTGAGAATTCCAGTACTTTTAATGCTGTATACTTGATTTTCTTACCCAATTCCTTTGCTTTCAGGTTTCAAGTTCTTCACATTTCAAATTCTGGAGGAAAGATTATCAATACTTTACTTACATAGTTTATCCTCTGCATATTATTGAAACATTTTCTTAATAATGTTTTGAGATTTTGTTGTGTTAGTTTTGACCAGTACTTCAATTAATATTTATCAATTTAAATTATCATTTCCTTTTTTGATGTAGTATCATCTGCTATGTTAAATAATATAAATTAAATTTCTTTGTAGTATTTACTAATGAACTTATGCCATATGATGCCATATGGCATCAACTCCCTCTAAATACCACTCATTTTCTTCTAAGTTTTTAATGATGTACCATTAATAAGTAGGCTCTTTCAGCCAGGTAGACTCTTCAATATCATTTTTCTCATATTCCTCTTTTGTTAATGTATGTTCCACATTCCGTGGGGTCCGAAGCATTTTTACTTTTTTAATTTATGTCACCAAAGAAAATTGTTATTTGATTGGAAGTATTTATTTAAATCTTGTTAAAGCAAAAAACATATAGCAAATATAACCCCAATTTAAAATCAATCTGTCTATGTCTCTGATTTGTTTATATTATATTCTTTATATAATTCAACGTGAATTTGTTGCCTTTTAGGTACAATATTAGAAACAATTTGAGAAACTTAAAATCTACTTGGGGAAATAAAACAGCAAAAGTACACAAGTAATGACAACATAATGCTTAATATGAATGTCACTGGGGTTTCACGTGCTATGAGTATTTGAAAAAAGACATTAAGAAAATTAGAAAAGGTTTTGTGAAGGAGAGCTGAAATGGGCCTTTGAAATACAGATGACATTTTCGTTGATGAGAATAGTAGTATCATAAAAGTAATTCATAAAGCTGACATAATCAACTCAGAAGGAAATCCATAAAATAATACTACTTTAAAGAAATTTCAGGGAGGTAAAATTTCTGAAAAGTTTTGTCCCTAGTCATCAGACTTTGTATGTGCATGTCTGTCTGTCTCTCCTCTGTCGTTTGTTTGTTTTTTGTTTTGTTTTTTTGGAGGGGATGGGGTAATAAAGGACCATAAGGAGATACAACACTGTGGGAAGAAAAAAAAATCTTGGGGAAAAGGAAATACTGATAAAATCATTGCCAAACACTTAAGAATAATATCTTCTAGTGATGGAACACATGCTTTGTGCTTTCCATACATTATTTAATCCTTCAAATGACTCTGTGGTGATTTTTTTATAGACATTTGAAGATGTGGTAGCTAAGGCTGAGAGAAATTAAATAATTTGCCCAAGATCACACAGTAAGTGCCTAAGTTAGGATTTAAATTCAGTCCTTTTAGATTACCAACACTTTTATGATTCAGATTTCTAACATATCTGGTACAAATATGAATGTTACTGAATGTGAGAAGGTAGGGGGGAAAATTAGAAGTCTTTCATTTTGTTTTATTTGTGTATATTTTAAAAGTTGACTAAGAGAATTTTTAAAGAATTAATGTTGCCCCAATGCCCTGTTCTTCTTGGAGGTAGTTTTAATATCATTTATGTGTCTAAAAGGAGCATTTTAATCTATTTTGTTTTTGTTTTGGGTTTTTGTTTTTTTTTTTGGTTTTGGTTTTTTTTTTTTTAAAATAAAAAATAAAAAACAACCCAGAGATTATGGTAATGCCAATTGTAATTGAATAGCCACAAGATCATTAAGGAACATTGTTGAGTTATCCAAAGATGTAAAAAGTCAGAAAAAATTCTATACAATACTGAAATATTGTATTACTTTTTAAAATTCCATTTCAAGAACAAATATAGTTTTATTTCATTTTGAAATAAACTATCCAGACAATATCTAGAATGTATAATTTGGTAATATTACTTTCTAAATGGTGTATAAACCATATAAAATTTATGGTCTTGTATTGTTCAGAAACTTGTTTTCCTAAACAGGTTGAAATATATATGTTTGGTAGACTTTTAAATAGAATACTTCTGAAGTTGTTTTATGTGCTTGGAGTTTGAAAACTTGAATAGCTGAATGAAACTATTTTATGAGATCTGATGAAAGAAGCTGACATTAGTGTGAACATCTTCAGGAATTCTTAAAAGAATTGCACATGAATTTTAGGTTTAAATTTGAAAATGGTTTGTTACCTAAAACAGATTTTGACACTGTTGAATAGTTAATTGAAAATAATCAAGTAATTATTATAACTTAAAGTTATTCTAATAGATGTGGCGTTTTGGTTAGTTCCATAAAATGAGATGCGGTAAGTTTATCTCAGAAAGGAATCATCTGAAGCAGCAGCTTTTTTCATGAAAAGTCTTTACCACTCAATTTTAAGTTAATGTTCTATACATAACTTCTAGTTGTAGTTAAGAGGTTATTCCTAGTGTTATACTTTGTAACAAGCCTGTTATTATGTAGTTGGCCTTGGCAGAATTGTATGAAGATGAAGTGAAGTGCAAATCTTCCAAGTCTAACAGACCTAAAGCTGCAGTCTTCAAGAGCCCACGGACACCACCTCAACGGTAAGTTTTATTTTGTTTTGTTGTAAAAAGAAATTACAATTCTTTCTAAAATTTTACTAACTTCAAATTGTTTTAAATGGCCTTTTTCAAGGTTTCTTCAGTAATTTTTAAAAATTGTTATTCCAAGGGCAAGGCAGATTTGGATAAAAAAAGAAAAGATTAATATCATTTAGGTACTATTTTAAGAACTTTTACAATCAGAAAGCTAAAAGAAACTTATGGAAAAATTACCTTGAAATACCTAATATTTTGGTACGTATCATATGAAATTATATCCTGAATACTATTTTTGTTGGGCACAGTGGTTCTTTAATATTTTTTGAGTTGTAGGACTCATTAAGGGTCTGATGAAAGCTGTAGAATTCTCCTCTCAAAACAACTTTCATGTGCAAGTTTGTCATTCGTTTTTAAGAGTTTGTGTGTTTCTTGAAGCCACTCCATGGAGCCTCTGCAGGTCTTTTGTCCTCCATTTAAGAATCTATGATTTTTGAAGTCTGTCTTTTCCTCCTTTGGGTGATGATTCCTCCAGTGTGTGACATCCTAAATAGTATTTGTTGTTATTAAAATCCCCGAAGTATAAAAACAGCCAACTATGAAGATTTAAGAGATGAGAATCAGGTGTATTTTATTGCTGTGAGTTTTCTTGTTGCCAGGAATATTTTCATTTACATCTTTTTAGTACTGTAAGTATCATCCCTGGGGAAGAAATGTCAGTTTTCCCATTATATCTTATTCTCAGAAAGTCCATTTTATAAGTTTTCAATTCATCAAAAATCAAGACTAGTAAATACTGTGTTTACTTCATCTGTATTCATCAAGTTGTTAAAATGTTACATTGAACTTGTGTACACATGTATTCTCTCTCTTTTTTACTCAACTGTTTGAAAGGAAATTGTAGCTATCATGACACTTCACCTCTAGATACTTCAGCATGCGGCTCCTAAGAGGAAGCACACACTTAAAAAATTGATAACACAGTACACCTTACAAAATTAATAATAATCGAGACGGGGAGTGTTGACTTATGCCTGTAATCCCAGCACTTTGGGAGCCCAAGGTGAGCAGATCACTTGAGGTCAGGAGTTCAAGACCAGCCTGGCCAACATGGCAAGACCCTCTCTCTCCTAAAAATACAGAAATTAGCTGGGCATGGTGATGTGGGCCTGTAATTTCAGCTACTCGGGAGGCTGAGGCACAGGAATCACCTGAACTTGGGAGGCAGAAGTTGCAGAGAGCCGAGATGGTGCCACTGCACTCCAGCCTCAATGATGGAGGAGGACTCTGTCTCAAAAAAAAAAAAAAAAAATGAATAGTAATTCTATGATGCCATTTAATGTATAGTCTGTAGTCAGATATCTCTTACAGCTTTTTCTTTGGATTTAGGATTCAACCAAGGACATTGCATTGCATTTAATTATTCCTGTTTCGAATTTCTGAATACAGAGAATTCCCCCCACCTTTTTATTGTTGTTTTTAGCTCAGCTGCATAATCTAAAATTTATTATGTTGACTTTTTTAGAGAGTCTAGGCCAGATGTCTTATAAAATTTCTAACGTTCTAGATCACTGTTTCCTCATGATTCGATTTTTATTAGAGTTTTTGTCAAGGATGCTAGATAAGTGATATTGTCTGCTATTTATTACATGACAACAGGGGTCATAATTTCAGGATTTTCCACCATTAGTGATATGTTCATTTGGTCAAGGTGCTGACCACCACAGCACTCCATTGTAGAATACTGTTTGTCCTTTGTAATCAGCAGGTTGGTATCTTGACACTGTTTGAACATCCTATTCTTTAATTCTTTATACATACAAAATACTGTGTTTTTAGCTGCTGCTTTAATTTGTATGTTCTCCCAAGTCTTGAAAGTACTTAATATGTATCTGTGTACTTACATTTTACTCACCATTTGGCTACTGTTTCCCCAGTTTGAACATAAATTGAATGAATTAATATTCAAGTTCTTATCATAAGATTGCTGTATTAATATTTTCCTTGCTATTCAAATATAATCACTAAGATATTTCAGTGAAGGGTTTTCTTTTATGCTGTCTGAAACAATGTCATCATTAATAGGTATAATTCAGTAATCCAGTTTTTAAGGATTTTGTGCCTCACATTTGATCTCTAGGATAATTTATCTATCGAAAGAACTGAGCTTCCTTAAAATATATAGGTTGAGACGTAAACTGTGTTGAATCTGTTTATAATACAATGTATAGCAAATTGTTCGCAATCTTTTTTTCTAAGTATGATTTTTTCTAATGCTAAGTGTACACTTCCTTTGATTTCATATTCAATATCGAAATTTTCCCAGTTTCATTGTATCTCTACGAATCTGTTTGGTATAGAAAACAGTGCTTGTTTTCATGATCCACCTCCTTTGGTCTGTATTTGAAATCAAAACAGTTATTGTCTCATTGTCACTTTAAGACAAGATAGTTTCATTATCTGAAACTCTGGACATAAGATGGTCTGTGTTTTTAATTCACAGGAGGAGTTACGTAATCTACAGAAAGACCCTTAGGATACAGTCTGATGCCTGTTTTGACATATTCATTCATGAAAAGTTACATATCACAATCAGAACTTAGATATGTCCTCTACAAGTCATTATGTAGTAGTATCACTTTGAGAATTAAATGAAATAAGTGGATAAGATGCCTAGCACAGAGTTGATACTTAGCTGGGCCTTAAGAGGATTTAAGATATTCGGAGTTAGATAAGCACAGAAGACAAGGGACAAAATTCCAGGAACAGAGAGTCACATAGTCAAAATGACCAGAGGAACCAGAAAAGGAACCAGCAGAACTTTAGGAGCTTAGGAGCAAATAAAGTTGGATAGATGGGGGTGCAGCCAGGAAGGCTTTCATAGGCACGTGACCTGTGCTATTGCACAAGGCCCCATGCTTAGAAGGGCCCTGTGCTTGGAGTAATGCTTTACTGTTACTGTTTTGAAATTCTTAATTGGTTTTGAACAAGGGGACTCGCATTTTCACTTTGCACTGGGTGCCACAAATTATGTAGCCAGTTCTGGATACAACCTTGAAGACCAAGAAGATAAGTTGCAGCTGTGTAGAAGGCAGTGGAAAGTCAGTTCCTCTTTTAATAAAAATTTAATGACAAAACTATAGTACAGTGTGTTAAAAGCTTTGACTCGAGATAGACATATCTCAGTTGTAATTTTTTTGTTTTCGTATAAGAAAATGGTTTTATTCCTAATTTTTAGTTCCCATACGGTTTACAAATACACTTTTACTCTGATAATACAGCTTTTCAACTAGCAAAGCAGTTGCTCTAACACCCATAAATACAGGTGGGGAGACAATTAACATCCACTAATGTTTCTCTACATAAAGTATTCTTTTAATGTCATTTTTTAAAACACAGTTGCAAATAGGCTACATAATATACGTGGGCAAAAAGGCAATTAAGTGAATCTCTTGAAACACTAAATGTATAATAAACAGCATATTATCAACATTTACATGATTCACATCAAAATGATAACATCCTAAAACATACTCCTTTTAAAGGATAGATTTATCAATAAAATATTACATATCTTTTACTCTTGTACAGTACTTCATATACTGCAGGAAAATTAATTGTAGGTCTAGTCATCAGCTTAATCAGGGATTCCTTTTCCATTAGCTTTTATTAATAAAAGAATCACAATTAGGTCATAAACAGGCAAATTATTAATTACATGATTTGAGGCTTAGGATAAAAACTGTCAAAATTAGTTTGATATACAGCAAAGTTACACGACCCACTAAAACCAACTGTTCAATAGTTTTTGCCTCGTGTGAACTGCCTGTAGTGAAAAAGGAACAAATTTTTAATGATAAAAGATACAATAAACTATATTTTGGAACTTTTTAAGAGGAGGAAGGAAAAAATATTTCAACAAAATTAAGGGCAAATACAGATCCTGACAAAGGCATTCTGACATCAGGGAGGCCATGTGCTTGCTGTATGTAAAACTTGATTCCCCCAACAACATACAGAAAATAAAAACTGCACTGGCTTTGTAGTTATGTCTACAGTCTACGTTTCCCTTATAGATACTAAGCTACAACAAAACACTTCACAGTTGCAAACCTTTCCACATCCCCCTGTACTAAAAATAACTCAAGAAATTATTAGTTCTTAAAATCTCCAATAAAATAACCTCTAAAAACTGTCTTGACCATTTTCATGACTGTTTCCCCGAAGCAACTGGGCTCTTTAAAGAGTGCACACACACCAAGAAAGTCCTACACGTTTTCTCGTCCCCATTTAGCCACATTTGAAAAGACCTTGATTTCAGTGGGAGAGATGACTGTAAGTTTCAGGAGGGCTACACACTAGACATGAAGTGCCTTTTAGTTTTTGTTTTTTTTTTTTAAGTTATTAAGACTGTGAAATGTCTTTTTAAACCCCAATACCTTGTGCCAGATAACTCTTTCACCCCAAAATATAAAATCCTATGCTTATAATTTTAAAATCCTCAGTGAGCTCTGGAATATTGTGGATATTTAATACCTACCAGCTACCTAGAAGTAGACGGCATCCATGTATTTGTCACACCGACTTTCCAAATAACCTGATTCACCCATCACTGACTGCTCTGGCCCTGGGCTCTCTTGACTTCTTCAGAAACCACCTCTTTGGAACTTTAATATCCACAACTCTTTTTTAAACCTGCACCTTGAGCTTTCTCCATCATCCCAGCCTCCCTGCCTGATTCCATCCCATGTAAAGTAACCTCATCTGAGAACTTGCAATCACCTTTTACCAAACACATGATAAGCCTTAGCAACCTAGGGACTATGATAACTCTGGCCTTGGCCTGAGTTTACATAAGAACATGATAGTTCGCTGACCTCGTGGAGGGAAATCTAAATGAAATCAATATAACAAACAAAGCTGGCCAAGATCAGTATTTCCATTATGAGTATAAAAGCAACTGATCTTAAACAGCAGGCAGAGATGTTAATGCAGGAGATATATTT